CATACCATTTTTCAAATGGTGTCTTTCCATCAATAGCAGCAGATGGTAGACGATTAATGAGGTGACATGCATATGTAACTGCCTCAGCCCAGAATTCTTTGCCCAAGCCAGCATTGGACAACATGCACCGCAGCTTCTCCAGCAAGGTCCGGTTCATATGTTCTGCCACTCTATTCTGTTGTGGTGTATATCTGACAGTGAAGTGTCGGACGATGCCATCATTTTCACAGACCTTATTAAAATGATCATTTTTGTACTCACCTCCATTGTCTATGCGAATACACTTAATCCTCCTGCCTGTTTGATTCTCCATCATAATTTTCCATTTGAGAAAAATTCCCAACACTTCATCTTTGCTCTTTATTGTATACACCCACACTTTTCGGGAAAAATTATCAACAAAGATTACAAAATAGTGCTTCCCACCCAATGAAGGTGTTTTGGAAGGACCCCAAACATCAGAGTGTACATAATCCAAAATGCCTTTAGTATTATGGATCGCTGTACCAAATTTAACCCTTGTCTGTTTCCCTTTAACACAATGCTCACAAAACTCCAAGTTGCAAGCCTTTACTCCTTTTAACAATCCTTGATCTGATAGAGTTTTCAAGGATTTTCCTCCAGCATGTCCCAAGCGCATGTGCCATAGCTTGGTTGCTTCTGCCTCTTTGTCGTCACTGGATGTCACTGTCGCTGTCCCAATAACTGTACTGCCACGATAGCGGTACATATTATTATTCTTCCGATTAGCCTTCATTACCACTAGTGCACCGGAGCATACTCTCATCACTCCATTTTCTGCAATGATTTTGAACCCTTTTGATTCCAGGGCTCCCACAAAGATGAGATTCTTCTTCAAATCCGGTACATATCGAACATCTGTTAATGTTCTGATCATTCCATCATGGTTTCTTAATCTTATTGAACTAATGCCATATGATGTACGAGGGCTATTATCCGCTGTGTGGATGACTCCATGTTCTCCTTCTTGAAAATCCACGAACCGGTCCCTGTTGGGACACATATGATAGCTACAAGCCGAGTCCATCAACCATATGTCTGATGATGTCGATGACTCTGTTGTAACTAATGAGAAGTCTGAATCATCACAATCAGCTACATTTGAATCCATAATGGCCTTTCTATTGTTATGTTTGGCCTTATTCTTCAACTTCGGACAGTCTTTCTTCCAGTGTCCTTTTTCTCGACAAAAGGCACATTCATCTTTGCTGGGTCTAGATCTTGACTTGGATCTTCCCTTCTTTGTCCTCATTTGATTTTGAGGACGATCCCTCACAACCGGTGCTTCTCCTTCTCCGCCCTTTTGTTTTTCTCCCTTTCTTTGTTCATAGCTGTACAAAGCCGAACAAACTTCTCTGAGAGAAATTTCGTCATTTCCATGGAGTAGAGTAGTTTCAAGGTGCTCGTACTCATCAGGAAGTGACGCCAACAACATTAAGGCCAAGTCACTATCATCAAAAGTTGCATCCATATTTTGCAAATCTGTGACCAACTTATTGAAACTGGTGATATGTTCATTCATCGTGGTACCAGGAACATAGGTGAAGTGAAACAGTCTCTTCTTCATGTACAATTTATTTTGACTGTTTTTCTTCAAAAATTTATCCTCCAGTGCTTTCCATAATTTACTTGCAGAAGTTTCCTTTGTGTATGGATATTTCTGCTCTCTAGCAAGGTAGGATCGAATGGTACCGCAAGCAACACGGTTGATAATTCTCCAATCTTCTTCTCCAATAACATCTGGTCTTTTTTCTTCAATGACAAGATCTAGCCCTTCTTGAAAAAAAGACATCTAGAACCTCGCCTTGCCACATCCTAAAATGTCCCGACCCGTCAAAAATTTCTATTGCAAATTTCGCATTTGACACAATTCTTGTTATAAGCGAAGATGACAATGATGACGTATTGTTGACACTTGATGTAGATTCTTCTTGTTTATTATCTCCCATCTTTAACACAAATATTATTTTATAGCTGACGACACAAATCAAGATTATTTCCTTTCTGGTGTGGAAGATCAAACTAAGCTGCAACCACAGAGCATACTCAGACAGAACCTTGACTCAGTTACCAAGATAAATCTTTTCTGATGTGGAAGATCAGACTATGCTGCAACCACAGAGCATACTTAGACAGTACCTTGGCTCTGATACCAATTGTTGCGGAAGCCAAATGTATATAGTGTGAATGAGTCACAACTACTATACCAAAAATTATGGCAGCCACCAAATAATAAATAAGATAATATAGCAACAATAAAAGGAACACCAGAATTTACGAGGTTCGGCCAATTTTGCCTACTTCCTCGGACACAACCAATATTTTATTCCACTCCAAAAATACAAGTGAAATAATACTAAAGAGAGAAGATACAAATGCCTTAAGAAGATAAGAAGGCAAATGAGAGGTGTGTCTAAATCCTAAACATTAGGCCTCCTTTTATAGGGAAAAATTCCCTACCAAATGGCTAAACCACCGATGTGGGATTTACCAAATTCAACATCTGCAAAGGAGACTGTTCTCTAGTCCTATTCCATTGGTTCTTGCTTCTGCTCCTTAACTTGACTGGTTTCATTATCAGGGAACTTTGCATTTGGTTCCGAAGTGGAGTAGTGACACTGTAGGGCAACATGGCCTAATCTCCCACAGCTTTTACACAAAAAAATTTCTCCCTCGGAACAGATATCCTGCTTGTGGGATCCAATTAAAATAGAAGGTTTAATTGGCTTGTCCATGGGGATTTCGACACATAACCTTGCTTATCGCCCCCTTAAGTACAAACATCAACCTTTATGTTATCAATGCAATGGAAAACGATCTAGGGTTAATGTGCTATCGAACAATCCTATCGTATTTTTCAATTGAATTGACTAATTAATTTATCTGGTTTAGTGGTGGACGGGGTTAAATAATATTGCTCATAAGAATCTGTCAGTCTCTTACTCGCCTATTCAAGCTAATCTAACATATATATGTCTATATAGTTAGAATCACCAAGAATGCATTTATGATTCCCGTATAATAACCAAGCAAGACAATTAACATATGTTTATTCTAACCGCGAATCCATTCCCGATGCCCGGGTTCTAGAACTTGATCTACTCAATCATAGATGCAATCTAGAATTCCCATTTTCGAGTTCAATTCTATACTCGTAAATAGTATTTAATTGGTGATCAAATAATCAAATAATTAAGTGCATGATTGAATAAATAAACAGATATGATAAATCAAAAATCAAAATCAATATTCCAGTAACAATAGTCATGGAAGAACCACAACCCTAGAACGTGAAGTTTAGCTCCACATAGACATGGTAACCAAACAACAAATCATACAAAGGACTAGGGGCATAAAAATTATAAAGTTTGGTGGAAGAAAAGGTGAAACCCAACCTCCACGACGGCTCTTTGCTTTCCCTTCGTCAAAAATTGTATAAAAATCATTTTTAATAATTATTTATAAGTGTAGAAAAAAAACCTGGACGAAATAATTAAGTCCCAAAAAAGAGAAGAAATAACTTCGAAATAGGACCCCGTGCTGACGCAAGGAAACACTTTCACCTGCTCCATGTATTCCAAATGTTTAATGCTTTCTTTGCTGTAGCGAGATGTTGGCCTAACTCCCACGTAATTTCCTTCTTTGTACTTTCATTTCATGTTATTTTGTCTTTATGCTATATTGTAACTTCTCACCATAGTATAATTTTCAACCTTCAGTGGCGCGACTTCTTCAACTTTTAGCAAATTCCTTCTATTACATATCTTAATCTCCTTAATTCACCAAATAACAGCATAATCATTATAAAATGACAATTATACGAGTAAGATAATATCAAAACATACACAAATACGCCCATCATCAGTTGTCAGTATTAGGCAGATATAATTTTGTGTTTTAAAATGACACTTGAACTAAAGACAGTTCAGATGTCAGCTACATAAAGAACTGTTCCAACAGCAATCATTTTCAGTACGCATAGCTGAAGAAGGCTATTTCAAAACCAATATTAATTTATTTCAAAATATTCTTGGTTCATTTGCCTAAAACTGTAATTAGTCTTCATTTGGCTGAAAAACAGAAGAAGTATGAAATTGTTGTACTTTTCCAAAGACCTCTTACATCACATCACCATACCACCATCAATAGTTAAAACCTGCAAGAACATATAATTGAAACAATAAGATCCTCAAACATTGCATTTTTTGTAACATAAACAAGGTGGTAAATGCTATAAAATGTAAAACCTGGCCAGTCATATAATTTGCTGCTGGATTAATGGCCAAGAATTCCACCAGTCCAGCAACTTCTTCTGGTTGACCATACCTTCCTGGAAACATATTTAAGAATCATAAATAAGAACAAGATCAACTCTTGAGGGGATTAATAACAGCAGTCAAGCTCAAAGTTTATGCATTAATTTGTATAATGCAATGGCTTTACCCCAAGCACGTCCAGGTCGACTATATGAATCCTCACTGACCATGTCACTCCATTTAAAGTCATCTCGGTCATATATTATACAAAAAATGAAAGTTACTAGAATTTCTCTATATTTTCGATAGGACTAAAAGACTCCTAAAATAGGATCTAAAGTAAATGTACTAACATGACTAAAATTTAATCCCAACTAACTGATATTGCCTGCATAGATCTTTTTCTTCCGTTGTGCCCTAATTTTGCTAGGTCTGCATGGACTTCAAGATGATTTCGTACAATTTGAGAAATTGATTTCAATTTAGAAGACTGATGTCACAGTTTCTCACATAAATTCTGGGATAAATTGATTGTAGCACCATAATATTAATTGTAGGAATGAGCTCTAGTACACAAAGCCACATTACTAAGCTAACCAATGTTATCATGAAATCCGTAAAGGACTGTATTTCTTTTTCCTCATCAATGATCAACACATGTGAGGCAGGTAACCTCTCATATTGAAGACCTAAGTTTTCATTAGGAGCACATTCAATCAAGGTGACGCAAGCGTCTGGAGGTAGCTCGACGTCATCTGAAGGTATTAAAAAAAAAAAATTAGAATGACATAATTTGGATTTGAACTTGTGACCTAAAGCATCTTTTGAACCCCATTACACACTAGAGTCTTCCCTTATGTCAAGGGGATTCAACAGTTTATATATACTAAAAATGAGTTCGTTTTTGTACTATTTGCACGATATAATTTTTCGATGAAGGGGTTTCAATTGAACCCCCTTACTGATTCCTAGCTCTGCCCCTGGGTGCTGTCTTATGCATCTCTCGCCCTGCAGAAGTGCTCAAGCTCAAAAAACCATTTATAAAATCCCAAGACCTTTAATTGGACTCTAGAGAGGATGCCTTGGAACCACTCCTTGTACGCCATCTCGTTTTCCCTTTGTCAATTGAAGCATGATTTATGATAACAACAACAATTTATCCTGAGATAGTAGCTATATACATGGAGAGAGATCTGACCTAATGGGACTTGCCCCAAAATCTTTTTCTCGATGTCATCCCCTAGCTTAGCAGTCATATCAGATGCAATGAACCCAGGGGCAACAGCATTCACCTGTTATTCGGGAGGACTTATTAGATTAAAACAGAGACTAACTAATGTAACCTGAAGTTAAGCATGTCTCAACAACATACATTAATATTTCTACTTGCATATTCCTTGGCCACAGTTTTAGTCAGGCCAATAACACCAGCCTTTGCTGCACTATAGTTAGCTTGCCCAAAATTGCCAACCAGGCCAACTACTGATGCTATATTGATTATCTTACCCTGTTCACATAAGACGAGTGATATTAGTGCTGGAGATCGAATTTTGAGGAAAATAAATGGTTTTGCAGATGACTCATAAGACCATTCTCAATGCCTTACTGAATTATGTTTCATACAAAGAGCTTCACATCACATGAATAAAAGTACCTTTTTCTTCTTCATCATAATCTTGGCTGCCGCCTATAGATAGACAGATGGTTAGATTCACAATCTAAAATTTGAAATCTATCAAAGCGAATGGTCAATAATCTAAAAGGTACCTGGGTACAAAGGTATACGCCAGTTAGATTTAGATCAATAACCTCTTGCCACTGTTTAGTAGTCATTCTCATCAATAATCCATCTCTTGTAATACCTGAAACCAAATTATCAGAGAGGTTTTACAGGATAGGAACTGATATACTAAGAGGAGAGTCTTTTTAATAACCTGCATTATTTATCAAAACATCAACAGTTCCCCATGCATCAACTGCCTGCAGAAATTTCACAAAACCAAAATGAGAACTTGGATTTTCCAAACAATAAGCAACATTTGAATATGCTCACAGTTTTTATCATAGCTTCCACATCTGCTTCCTTGGAAACATCTCCGCCAAAACTAAGAGCCTGTCCACCACATGCCTCAATCTATTGAAAGCATAATCCATAAAAATCATATATTTCTCCCATTAATCCATTAAGAAAGAAACCTCACAGTTAAGATCAACTACAAAATCTGGCAATGATAAAGGTTAAACCCCCAGCAATCAATAGATGGGGATAACCACCAGACACCAGTAATCCTAACTGTATTTATCGGTGTGTGATATTAAGTACATTCACATCAGGAAATATATTCACTTAGGAGGCAGCACTTCACCTCTTTACAAACTTCTTCAGCCTCCTTTGATGACCTTGCATAATTAACAAGAACCTGAAAAGTTCAAGACCAACCTTTTCAGAAGCAAACATTAAATAAAAGCATTAGGTATGGTGAAGCAGTTAAGAATGAATCTGGAGCAGAGAAAGCAACATGAAAAGATGAACTCTATGTCTATGAAAATTTCTATCAGAGAACCACATATACCAAAGCCATGTTATTTCTTCCCAAGGAAAACTAGTCCTAGCAATGCAGCAGGCTTCAGCTCACATAATTTGGTAGTTACAATCTCACGGCTTATCTGTTCAAGTACCTTTTCCATATGAACCATCCTAAGAATGATTTGAAGAAGCTCTCCAGAAAAAAAGGTAATGCTTACCAAGTACCAACTATATGAAATTTAGTAGATTTTACTGAACAAACCAGTTACAGTTTTTTTATCATTTCAGACTCTGCTCTTCAGCTTGACTTTACCAGTTACAATCGAATTAATTCAGAGCAAAAGTCTCAAGAAGAATGTGAATCCCAATTAGGCCTATCACGTAGGAATAACTTTATTTAACTTAGATCGAAATTTTTGGTGAAGCATATCTTGTACCTTACATCCAGCTTTCCCCAGAGCCAATGAAATTGCTTTACCGATACCTCTGGAAGCTCCAGTAACAATAACAACAGCAGCCTCAGTTTTAGAAGTGACTTGTGGCGCTGCTTGTTCAACTGTGATAGCTTGTGCGTTTACAACTGCACAAATCATTAGCAATGAATAAAATCTGCATAAAGTAAAATTATCTAGTTTTTTTTTTTGTTTTAGAAGGTAAAGCAAATTTGTAGGTAACAAATTTTTCAGAAGCAAAACATCAAAAGTACGCCCCTAGTAATCGTGCATGGCTTCTAACATTTAACACTGATTCAGCCTCATTTACATGTTCCAACCTACAGTAGGAGTAAAGTAAAGTATACAATGATAGAGTTAGCAGAGTCTTCAAAACATCTTCTGTTTCTTTCGTTCCATATAGTTCACGATATACTTGCTGGTATAGTATTCCACCACTCGAGCTTGCTCTTTCCTTTTAAGGTGGAATTCTCTACTTTCCAACATACGCATAAATTAGCATTTACTTAAAACGTCTGATACACCCATAACAAGTACTAAATTGAAACAGAGACATTATGACATACACTCCAGTTGATAAATGCTTGAGGCAAAAAAAAATATATATATACATAATATAACATCTAGTCCAAAATCTCAACTTTCCCTTTATTTCAAGAACTTAATTACAGAAAATGCTACAACTCATATCAGATGTTTCGTGAACGATCACTTCTTATTTGGTTAAACTCAATGTTATCTTGTCCTTGATCCTCTCTGACTCGGTGTGTGTGAGAGACTAGATCATATAAAGGCAACCAAATGTGCGTGTGTATGTGTCTGACATCTCTGTATATATAAATCATATAAAGCAACCAATAAAAAAAACTCAGTAAAGAGAAAAATCTATGGAACTTAGAAATATTATTACTAGAGGAAATTGAGTTTTTGCTGTTTGATCTGCACTGCAAGCTGGAGTAATTTCTGGGCTGGAGCTGAATTAGCCTAAATGGTTGCAAAAAATTACAGATTTTGTTTTCAGGCGTTGTGATTCTTCCCTCCGATTTAAGGGCCCTAAGAGCCGATCCTGTAGCAGAGAAAGCCATTGATTTTCCAATAAAACAAGAAATTAATGAAATGCAATAAAAGTGGTTCTGCTTTGTATATGAGAGATCACAATGCGGGTGGTTGTGGGTCGCCGATCGGTGGGGTGGGGAGGGGAAGAGAAGTTCGATGTTTTCGACAAAGCTTTGGAAATAACGAAAGAGAAGAGAGCTGTCTTTGTTTCTGTAATGGCGGGCGATTTGTACGAGGTTCTTATTCGGCTTGAGCTTTTATTTAGGTGGGCAATGTAATAATAACTTAAAATTGGAGGACTGACTAGCAAAATTTATACTATTATTATAACGATGGACCGCAGATGCGGATGGTTGGAGAATGACTCAACTCGCAGAAGCGAGATTTTCTTCGTAGAAGCAGAAGTAGTGTTTTGTCAGCAAATGCATGGCAGATTATTTAATTTGAGGGTTCGGTTATTTTTCATTATTCGGAGCTGTGGAGGTCGGTTATCCGCAATTTTTGGAGGATTTTTCACTACAAATTGAAGGCTAAGTAAGCCCTACTTGATTTTGATGTTAGATCTTATTTCCCATGAATTATTATACCTAGACTATGTGATTTAAAGAAGAAATTTGAGGTTTTTGATATGGTTTTTGGAGAGTGAAAATTGCTGATTTAGGGGTCGATTTGAGGTCGGCTTTGGTTGAAACACATATATTTGGACTCGTACTAGAATGGGCACTCAGGAATTCTGAGTTTTGTCGAGGAGGGTGCGGGCCCGGGATTGACCTTTTGGGTTGACTTTGTATGTTTGTTAAAGATCAAGCTTTATTGTTTGAGGTTGTTTCATATGGCTTTTGTTGATGTTATTAAATTATTTTTGGTCAGATTCGAGCCGTTCAGAGATTGATTCGCGCGGGAAGGAATTTCTATAGTATTGATTGGCCTGCTTGAGGTAAGTATCTTATCTAAAATTGGTTAAGACACTAGTTGCTTGAGTTATTAGTGTTGGCTACGCGCTATGGGTGGCGTCCATGCTTGAGATAGCGATTAGACTATGATATGCCTTGAATTGATTGCTAAGCTTCATGCTATCATGTTTCTTATGTTTGTAACCCCTTTGTGAGCTAATTAAATCATGTTAGAGGTTATTTATTGGTTGATCTCCTGATCAAAGGTGCTCATTGTTATTTCTGTGGCGCAATCGCCTAATTTGAACTAGGTAGTATACTTTGCACATGCCTACACCTTCGCATGTCACTTATATCAGTCCATGAGTATGTAATTTGATATCCATTTTCATGTACATGTATTCTTATATATGTTTTTTATATGATATGGACTAGGTTGATACCACGTGAGTGATCTGTGCGGTTCTGAGTTATGATAGTACGCGAGTTGTCCGTGTGGTTGTTATATATAAAACATGAGTTATCTGTGCAAGCGTAGATTCTCATGTTTCTCTCTTGATGGTTTATACACACGTTATGGGGGAAAACTAATCAATATTTGGTTATTGCATTTTTTTTCTCTACTTGCAATTTCCTTGGATGTATATATATTTTATTAGCATATCTTCTTTATATGCTAGATCTGGAATGAATACATGCCTCGTTATGTATATCTTCTCTATATGCTGTTTGGTTTGATTTGTGGGGGTATGATATATATATATATATTCTCTATATGTCTACCTGTGTACCGAGACTTGATAATAGATGGATATCTTCTCTATAGGTTGGATTGTTAGTCAATATAGTGCTTGTCATTACCTCTTGTGCACCGAGGTGACTTATCTGTGTTTTATGATTTGATGATATTACTGCTGTGTACTTGTGAAATTTATGAATTGAGCAGGTTATTAGCGAGTATACTGATAATTCTTTCCTTTATTACCTCGCCGAGGTTAGTTATGATACTTGTTGAGTACATGGAGTCGGTTGTACTCATATTATACTTTGCACTTAGTTGTGCAGATCTAAGTATTGGATCGAGCCATTGTGATTGTTGTTGTGAGTTGCGAAGAGACGAGGTAGAGTTGCATTTCGACTGCAGTCTTTGGCGTCACTTTCCATTTCAGTTGTTGTTGTCATTTTTTCATTTTGTATTTCTAGACTTGTGCTTCTATTTTAGAGCTCATGATTTCATATTTCTAGTTCCATGGAGGATTTTATCTATTGACGCAGTTTATTTGTGGCATTTGATTTCAGACTTGTACCATTTTCATTATCTATTCCGCCTTTGTTTTGCTTGGCTTGCCTAGCAAGTAAGTTAGACGCCATCACGACCGGATGATGATTTTTGGGCTGTGACATTCATCACACTGTAAACCATTTGACATCAACAATACGGTTAGATGCTTACCAATCAGATCTTCGATTTAGCTGAAATTGTTGTGGCATTTTCATTTTGGAATCTCACGCCAACCATCATTATATGCAGAGTGGAGTAGTGTTGTCGAAATTTATATGTTTCCCCGTTATTACTGTCACACCTCCTTTTTCCGCACCCGCGGGGGCGCAGGGGAGTTTTTTCCAATTAAAGGA